TGCATGGTAGTATCAGAAACCCAATATATGTCAAAGAGGCTTTATTAACAGAACTTTCACATTAAGCGTGGATTAATAACTCAGTTCTCAACCAAATATCAGATATTATGATTAACAGGAAAATTACTGGCATTCCAAATAACTTCCCACACTATGACTCATCATGCTCGAAAATTAATCCCAGGACAATTTTGCTACTAAAGAATCTGCAGTAGCAACAGCTACTGTGAAAAGAGAGATTTGGGGAGGAGTGAAATAAAGGGGTAACAGATGCTATTAATATAAAAACCTCCTGCCAGCTGATTCACATCACCATCATACATGGAAGAATGACATTTTTCTCCTACAGACTGTTAACTTACTCCATCAAAGGGCTAGATTGAGAAATAATCTCTTTTCTATCTGGCCAACACTGTCAAACTGGAGCAGGTATCAGGCTTAGGTTCAGGTAAACAGTTATCACCTTGTCATAACTGAACAAGGATCTCTTCTAATTTTCAAATATTGTTACAAATCCTAAAAGTGCAAAGCAATCCAGTGGTTTCAATATCGGTAAGGCAGTGACATAACCCCTAATTTCAGTCAGAACTATTAAGAAGCCATCCAAGATGCTGAACCAGTTCCCAAAATAGGTTCAGCACGATGGACAATAACTCTGAAGTTCAGACTAAAACCCAGAGTGGATTCATTATCCCATGCATTGAAACTAGCAGTCTCTACTGCAACAACTGCATTCAATTGTACAACAGGGAGAGGAACAAAAACATGTTGTCACTACAATAGCTTTTTAAATGTACTTTGAAGTCTAGGAATGCTGGATACAAAGAAAACCTCATCAGCTTAAAGTATTATGTAAGTTAGTCTGCAGCTATTCTCAGTAGAAAACAAGCAGTAATATTGTAATCCTATCAACCAGTGCTGAGTGCATTTGATTTCATTCAAGGACTGCAATTTTCAGCTAGCTTGATTTGCAATATTTTATGATGACAACTGCAACAGATGATATAGTTCATTTTCCTATAGATATTACTGGGCAAATATGGACAACAGACTAAAGAGGTGAAGAACACTCCTTAATGTTTGCATTCCCAATTGAAAACAATGTGTTTCAATGCTACACAAATTAAAATTTATATCCCAACAAAACAAACAATTCTTACAAACAATAAGCAACTTCCCATTGCTTATTTTGCAATGGCAAAAAATGAACATAGGAATACTGTACAATAATAGGTTGTTTAGTAGGTCTAAATGCCCTAAATGCACCAGATCCTGTCTGATTTTGGAAACTAAGCAGGGGCGGTTTCAGATTATACTAGTATGGGAGAGCTCCAAAGAATACCAGATGCTGTATACCACATTTCAGAAGAAGGACCACCTCTGAGTATTTCTTACCCTAAAAAACCTAATAAAATCCATGGAATCACAATAAGTTGACAGCAGGCATGTAGCCAGGGGGAGGGGGGGCTTGGGGGCTTCAGCCCCCCCCCCCCGAAATTCTCATGGTGGTCCGCGAGAAGGCCTTACTGGTACATTATTTAAACTGTTATGTTTATTCATATCATGATCTGATCACCATGCTCAATATATCCCATATGCATGGGGGTATTGGGGTAACGATACAAAAGGTTTGCTAAGGTAGACCCTCTTTCACTCAGACTCAGCCCCCCCCCCCCCGAAACAAAATCCTGGCTACGGGCCTGGTTGACAGGAAACATGAAGGGAATTGAAGGTACAGATACACGCATTAGATATGTCATCACAGCAATGTTATCTATTTTGAGTGTTGCTTTTTGAATTCTGCTTTAATATAACAAAATACAAAGTGATTCAATGCCATTAGTTAACCTTAAAAGTGACACTAGGTTACTTAAAGAAATTTCCACCGAGCACAGTGGAGTTTCCTGCCAAACATCCCTAAGATTATAGACAATGTGGTATTGTTTTAATAAAATCAAAATCCTTACAAAATGCTCCCTTTTAGCTTCAAAATTGATTATTGTATCCTACATAAAGTAATTTAAAGCTGAACCACAACTAAATCCCTGAATTTGAAAACAGCAGCCTTAATCAGAAACCCGGGCACTCTGTAAGGGACATATGGAAATGGCAATCCAAATAACTCATTGCAGAGGTTGGTATTCTCTTTCTCCCACTACAACAACTAAACTCTCCTCTGAATTCACTAGTCAATGGTCATTTTGTGATGGGTGAAGAAACTGGAGAAGCATCTGGCACTTATCTTAGCAGATATCATTGTTCTGCATTTGGCTGCAGGGACACAGCCAGGTGCTTCTCTGATTCTTCACACTGTCCATTCTCCATCAGTCTCTGAATGGCCACAAGACAGGCTTATAACACCAAAATGGTGAATCCTGGGAGTAGTGAGATGAGAGCAACAGCACAATTCCACCTACAGAACATTTATGCTAGTTATATAATGCAGAATATAGAACAGAATGCCCTTCACGTTATATTATCTTGACCCTGATAATGCAACCATATTAAAAATTGATTTTCATACTTGATTTAGTGTGCCCCCTATAAGGACACCTGAGTGGGGAGAAAGGAAACTGAAAGCAGCCAAGTGGAATGATTCCTATGTGGCAGGCAATGGAAACTAGACAAATTGGAGGAAACAAATGGCAAGTGCCACATTATCTGTTATTACCATAGTTTTTAAAATCCCCTGTATAATGTCGTCATATAATTCCAGGCTATTGTAAGAAATCTAGGACAAGTTATTGTTTTCATTCATTGACTTAAAACAAGAATTCCCAGCAATGTATTTATGTCACAGTACAGCTAAATGAATAACCTTTAACAAAAACTACTGCTCACAAAAACAACTTCTAAAGAAAGTTTTTTTTGTTTATTTAAATATTCCATTTCTTCAAGATGCTGTTGATTGTAAGATGCTCACTATTTTAAGGAAAATTTCACTGGGGCCCTTCTCCTTTCTCAGCTAAGTGAGGCCTGCCCATGGCAAGGGCTAAGAAGCGCCGAGGGAGCCTCCACTCTAAGAAGCTCCAGGCTTCTTTCTAGAGTTTCCAGCCAACCCTGCTTGCTGTCTTTGGCAACCACCAAAAACAACAAGAAGCGGTCACAACTGAGCCAAGGACAAGGCCTGGCTTGAAGCTTCTGAGGCAACCTGGGAGGGGATTACAGTGGAGAATGTGCTGACTAGGAAGGCCTGTTGAGAGCACAAAAACGTGCAAAGCATGAGAAAAAAAATGAAAAATGATGTTTTTAAGATGCACCCTGTTTTTAGAGCTATGTATAGGATGAGAAGCGAGTATCTCAGAATTAAAGAATAATGGTATATGAAAAATCTTCAAAGCCCCGAAATCTGTTCATGAGAATTTCAGCTCTAAGATATAAATTTGTCTTCTGGAGGCATCTTTCCTTTTAGTAGAAAAGAGGGAATATATATGAATAGAAATGTCTTGTCTTCTTTGATGTATTCAATTAAGAGCACATTAAAATAAACCAAAATATCCATACACATATATTCTCAGCTTCAAAGCCAGCCAGCCATACTTCTTGCTCAGTTTATCAACCTTATCAGCAAAACTACTGAACAAGGAGTTATCAGACAGCCAAAGAGAAGATAATGTTAATATGCATTCCTCACAGGGGATTCCAATGAAGACCACATTGCAGGGGGTTAGACTATCTGCTGATATAAGCTGTGGAATATGCTGCTTCCAATTCTTCAGAAGCAGATAGCCAGTCAACTGCTCCATGTCAGTTTTGGAGGCAGACGTATGTGACTACCTTTGAAAGCAATTTTATTCCATAAAAACATCTGCACTTCTTCTTTTTTTGGTGTAAAAAGCCTTTCTTAGCCTTCCTTATGGTCCAGCTCTCACATCCAGGTTACTATGGGTTTACAGCAATTAAAAACCCCCTTATTTTAAATTTCAGTGTACTCAAATATCAGAATCAATGCAAGTGAAGCAGACACTTGGACAGAGAACCAATATAAAATGTTACAACCACCCTCCTAAACTACATCAAATAATGGGCATTTCATTGGACAGAGCTCCATAACCAGGACACCACAAATAAGAAGGCTCTGATCTGTATCCCTGCAGTTTGCATCTTTCTTTCATCTTTCTGAATATGACTGTAAGTAAAGGAGGAAGGTTCAAGCAACATGTGGTGACCCTTCTAATATTCTGGTCACAAGCCATGCAGGATTTTATTACTCTGAACTAGACTTATGCCCCTGATTTGTTTCTCAGAATTCACACCTTGAATTGGTTCTGAGAAAAAAAATCTAAAAGATATGGTGTTAGAAAAGCAAATGCCGAACATATAAAATGAAGAATTAATTTTGTATTTGATGGAGTTAAAGCCAAACCACATGGTATATGATTACAGTCAGATCTACTTTAACCGGGAAAGGACATGAAAGGGGCATAATTGGTGTACCAGAACAAGTTGTCCCAAATCTTCTTGTCAACCCACTGGAGATCAATCAGTTCTTTTTTTGTAATCACACTAAAGTGTGATAAAGTAAAGAAGAATCAACCCAGAAACACTCTTCATATTGATCTTTAAAAAGGAGGCTTAGGCAATCTCCAGACAGAGTTAGGTTTCCAGTGTAAAAAAGCAAGGTAGTTTCACCATCAAGCACCATCAAGCAGTTCTCTCAGAATCTCTGAAGATACCAGCCACATATACTGGCAAAGCATCAGGAAAGAATAATGTTGTAACATGGCCATTAAGTCCAAAAAACCTACAGCAAAATAGTTCTCTCACAATCTAACTGTATAACAAATTGACAGGGACACATAAGGTTTCCATGTCCAATACCTTTGCAAGACTGAAAGAGAAAAGAGTGCAGTCACTGTGCTGCTCCAACTTTCAAACATTAATTCCTGGTTATTTTTTTAAAGCTTCCAGGGATTGGCATCACTAGAACATTTCATTTTATCAATGAAGCCCATCAGGACACAGTGAAATCATTATCATTCTGCACAAGATAAGCCCACCTGATTGTCCTCCTGTACTTCCATGCTGTACTGATGCCCTGCCTGTACTTCGTTGACTTTCTCTCCCAGGAGGAAGCCCAAGCGAGTCATGAGTGTATTTGCTGCCTCATCTACAGATGGAGGGGGTCCCAGTTCTGGCTCAGCTTCACCTACAGAGAAAAAAGAAGAAGAGTATTAATGTAAATGAAAAAAAGTACAAAATATACTTGTCTGCAAGGCATGCCATTATCCAATGTTTGTCTAATATACTATACTTTTCCAATAATCGAGAATAGGTTCTTGATTACAATAAAGTCTACCTATTTTATTATTTATTTTGAGGGAGATGTAGTTTTAAACAGGATTTTCATTGATGCTTCCAATGACTGTAAGTCTCATATGTCTTGACCTGCAGAGGCCTTTGTTTGCAGAAAATGAGGACAGTTGGGGAAAACGCTGATACAGAGAAGAAATTACCGTTCAAGGATAAGTTCATCAGAATAGAACTGGTTCTAGCTATTACTCCCTAATTTCCCAGCTGCTTGGAGTTTATGTTTGAAACAGTAAAGCAAGTAAGATTGATTCATTAAAACAGCCAGGGTCAGAGACATAAAAGCATAATTGTGCCACTGTTAGCCACTGTGCCTCCTAGTTGTTAAGAGTCACAGAGAGCCAATGAAAATCTGTTAGTCAGCAGACCAATGGAATGGTTGATATTTGTACACCAATGAGAACATGCTTTCAATTTTCTGTGAAAGTGATAAAAAGCCTTGCAACGCCATTTCAAGTTGCAACAGACCTTTTGTGCAGTGGGCACTTATTGTCACCTTATTGCTAAGCACACAATAAACAGCCTTTGTAGAAAGACCCCAACTCACTGCCCAGGCCTTTAGGGGACTCCTCAGCTCATGCCGAGTTTGTCTGGAGTGGAGGTGAGTCATTGCCCCTAAACTTTAAACATTTTCATATCACTTTTCAGCCTGGATGTTTGTGAGAGCTAGGCCATGACTGCATTAGAAAATACTGCAGTAGCTAAATATTTATCCCCATCTTTTAGGACAGATGCCTCTTAAGGCATCTCAAAAACTATTACAAAACAAGAGTGCCATGCAGAATGAGTACTACAGACCCAGAGTTACAATCTCATTTTTGTGAACTATCATCCTGTCACAAGAATTCATCCTGTCACAAGAATAGCCTACTACATAGTAACTGAGGGTGCTTCTACACACTCACATAACCCAGAATATCAAGGCAGAAAATCCCACAATATCTGCTTTGAACTGGGTTATCTGAATCCACACTGCCATATATTCCTGTTCAAAGCAGATAATATGGTATTTTATTCAGCTGTGTGGAAGAGGCAAATGGAACACAACCTAGCCCCTTCTTTTCGTCCCTTGATTAAGGTTACATCTACACTGACCATTTAATGCAATTTATAACTGGTACTGAAGAAAGTGGTTTCATTGTGCAGATTATAATAAAGGCAATCCTAGAACCAGTTTGAGACCCGGATGGTGAGTACACAAACCACAGAGAACTAATGCACTTTTGTGGGAGTTGTTGTCTGGCCACTGAAGTTTGAAGCTAGCTTTGAACGGAAAATGTTCAGCCTTATTTTACAAGAATTCAACACAAAGAGGTCTTTTTATCTTTCTTGGTTTAGCACAGCCATATCAGACAAGCAGGCACATGCACATTGATTGAAAATGCCATTTTTTAGTCCAAAAACATTTTCTCCACACCAGCAATATTGCTATTTATATTTCCTTCTAGAAAAAGTTTACAGTGATCAAAAAATATTGAGCAATATGTCTAGACTGAGTCTATATAGATACTGCTGAATCCTCTGTTTAATGCTGAATGTTGCTGGAACAAACTCTGACATTAAATGTGAATTGTATGGCCTGATGTGCTACATGAACTCTGCCAATCACGCAAACAAGTGCTAAGCAAACATACCCTTTGCCTCTCAGTCACATTTTGGCATCATCAACTCAGCTACACTGAAAAACTAACAGGAAGTATTTGTTGCCTTAGGTAAGCTCATAAAGAAGTCAGAGATCCCCGAATATAAGGAAGTAGCCACTGAATTAATGCAACTGTTTTAAAAAATGTTTTCTAGCGCATATATTGTACTGTTCAATGAACTATAAAAAGCATAAATATAGTGCTTTATCTCTTAGAAATGGTTAAAGAAAACAACTAAGCTTTTTATACTGCAATAATATTGTAAGAAGAGATTAGCCAATTTCATTGTGTAGCTAATTTCACATAGACAAAATGAACCCAAGAGAAAACTTTTTATCATGCTTGCCAGGATTCTGAGCTCCTATCACACGAGGAAATTACAATTCAAAGAAAGCACTCTGTCCCTCTGTTCTTCCTTTTAAAAACCTAAAGCAGCTAATTGGAGACTGTTGCTATTAGTACCCATCCACCTGGATTTAGATGGAAAACCCAACTGTAAATGAGTATTTCCTTTTTCGTTCAATATTTTGAATTGAAATTTTGACAATTAAAATGTAGATGGATATTTCAAATTAGCTACTCAACTCTCTTGTGATGAGTTTCCTGCAACATAACTAAGTCAGATGTTCCTTGTTTAAGAAATCTTTGGATTCTTTTCCATTTTGTAATTGTGCTCAAACCATGAATAATAAAAGAAATAATTTTTAAGGTTAGGCACGTATATTTCCAACACTTTTTCGTTAACCTGGCTCTTCAACTAAATAACTATACAGTAACTCAGCCTCCAACATCAGCCCTTTCATAAAGTCAAAATGGGTTTTTGACTCGGATCTTCACAAGAGGGAGTGAAAAGAAAGAAGTGTTGGGGATAAAACGAGGCAAACAATATAACTTGACAGCTTATCTTCACAATAAATACTATTTGTTAACAAAAAATAAACCATGTTCATGAAGATCACAGAAATATAGTCTTGCAAAGGATTCTATAATAATAATAATAATAATAATAATAATAATAATAATAATAATAATATTTATTTATACCCCACCACCATCTCCCCGATGGGGACTTGAAGTGGCTTACATGAGGCCAAGCCCAAAACAACAATTACAATAAAGAAAAACCAAGACACAACTGAAAACGTGAACAATAAACAATATCATAATTACATAAAACATATGGATACATAGCAATGTAAAAAATTACAATAGACACAGGCACAGTAACAATTATGTCCTTCATTGATTCCAAAACAGTATCAGTGTATATATTTGTGTATAGGTCTCAAAAATTTAGTAAAAAAAAATAAACCCCGAAACCATGGGTCAATAAAACACTGTACTTTAACTTTATGTAGTATAGTCTTTCTTATCCAACATAAATGGGCCGGCAGAACGTTAGATAAGCGAAAATGTTGGATAATACAGAGGGATTAAGGGAAAGCCCATTAAATGTCAAATAATGTTATGATTTTACAAATAATGCACCTAAACACCATGTTTTACAATAAACTGACTGAAAAAGCAGTTCAATACACAGTAACATGTAATTACTGTATTTACAAATTTAGCACCAAAACATTGCAATGTATTGAAATAACTGTGGCACTGGGCAAGAGGATAATACAGAACGTTGAATGACTGGTAAGTGAGTCTCTACTGTACTGTATACATATATAATCATCCCTCTTTCTCTGAGTATAGACTGGGGAAAGGACTTTTTGAAGCCTGCGTGGGAAATCAGCAGTAGCAGTGACTTTTCAGGTTTTGGCGCATTTGTGGGCTGAAATAATTTAATTTTGAGACCTGCAAATCGTGGTAGCTTTTGTTCTTCCAAAATAGCATCCTGAATGTATTCCCACCACCAAGACATCACCCAGCCTGGTCCTCTGTTTTTGATGGGGGCTAGATAGATAATAAGTATTTAAAATAAGTATTTTTTACTGCAAAGTCTGGAAAAAAGTTTGAGTAGCATTGCAGTACTATAGAGATAAGAGAACCCCCCCCCCAACTTAAATTTAAATTAAAACACCTGTCTGCAAATTATAGCTTTTAATACTCTCAAATCCAAAAAAGTAATTTAAAAACACTTGACAATTAATTACTGAATTATGAAATGTAGCAGGATAGACAATCCATTTTAAAGAACAATTGAATACATTAGGTATTAACAAAAAACAATCTGATAAAATAAGCTACCAGAATGCATGCCTACTTAAAAAGCAAGAAAATACTAAGCTCAAATCCTTAAAACGGGTCATGAAACTGAATTACAGTCTAGGGCCCATTACAGACAGCTGAATAAAATCCCATATTATCTGCTTTGAACTGAAAATATATGGCAATGTGGACTTGGATAACTCTGTTCAAAACAGATATTGTGGGATTTTCTGTCATGATATTCTGGGTTATATGGCTGTGTGGAAGGGTCCTAGGGGTGGCTGATGGAAAGGTCTTCCGGATGATGATGACCAGTCTGGTTCTGGCTGAGGCAGCCTATACAGAGGAAGGCAATCTTGCAGATAACCGGGATCCAAACATTCACTTGCAAAATATATAGACTTCAAAAGCCAGAGCCAACATTTTGTAGTAATTCACGGCCAGTGGAGTATAGGTGTAATATGATCACTCCTAGATGTTCTAGTTACTAGTCCGGCTGCCATGTTTTGATTTGGAGTTTCTGAGCTTGGTACAGAGGTAGCCCAATTTACAGCATACTGCAGAAGTCAAACCTTGAGATGGACCTCTGTATGTGCATCTTTAGGTTTTCTGATTCTAAGAAGGGGTACAGCTGGCGTATCAGCTGAAGCTGGTAATTAGCACTCTTGACTGTCACATCTATTTGGGCTGACATTTGGATACATGCATCCAGGAGCAATCCCAAACTGTGAACACAGTCTTTCAGAACTGGTTGATACACCGCAGGTAAGGACCCTTAATGCCAAACACCTCTGTCTTATCTGGATTCAGTTTTGATGCTTTTCTTCAGCCAGCCCATTATGTCCTCCAGGCATTCAGAGGAGAAGCACTATCCTTCATTAAAACCGTTTTTGAAGATATTTATCCAGATGAACACAATTCCAAGGCCACTGCTAAAGCTTAAGGAATCATGGCTCAATTTACAATAAGAACAATGTATTTGCCTTTGGGACTTTCCACCACCCTTAAAAAACATTTGTGCAATAGTATTTGTATT